TTATCTTTTCGAATCTCTTACATCTTTATCGTCCTTTCTCACTTGAAATTGGATATGTTAATTCAAATTGTTTAGGTTTGTTTTCATTGAAAAGATTGAAGATGTAATTCTCTGTGCAGAGATGTTAGCACCAACTGCCCTGGAATTTGAAGAAGCTAGACGAATCAAATAAGAGGAAATGATCTGTGCCTATAATTTATGGGATGATCCTGCTAAATCCAATGAAATACATGTTAAGTTAGCTGGTAGTGCCAAAGTGGTTGATGCTCTCAAGGACCTAAAATACAAGGTATTTATTTATTTTTATTTTTATTTTTTTGAGATTAGTTTTAGTTGAGCTTTCTTATAACATATGCTAATTTCATTTCATAGAAATGAGCACATGGAGTCTTGACCTGTATTGGGTTTGTAGGCTAGAGTAGCATGACAAAGGTTTGACCTATAGCTTTAAGGACATAGCATCATTTGCTAAGATAATTGAGATTTTAGAAAGGTTTAGTGTTCTTTGGTTTAGCTAGATGATACCCACATGAATAGTTGTATTTGCATACCACTTTTGTTTTAATTTATTAGAATCTAAATATACTTCTAAATGCATATTAGTTGTACCATTATAATATTCAGTTCATAACAAAGTTAGAGACAAAGGGATTCTTCAGTATGATTCAGTTCATTAGTCTTGATTGAGTTTATATGAAAAATTAGGAGCTTTGTTTATTGAATCTGGTTAGTTTATAACAAAATGTTCAAATGCGTCTTTGACATCTCCCTAATTTTGGGTTTTTTCTGGCAATGGCTGGTGGTAAAAAGGTCTATCTAGCTTTTAGCGTTTTTAATGTTACAAAATTACTTCACGCAAAATGGTTAATTGGTTTTAGCTTTGATGCTTCCAGCTTTCCATTTTTTTCAGCAATTATTTTACTTTCTTCATCAATTTGTTACATGGTTTGTAAAGAAATAGTGAAGCTATCATGAAGCTATCATGGTATGAAAGTGACATCTTATGTAGCATCATTAGTTTAACATGAAGAAATCCCCAAAGATTAACCCTTGAAATATGCATTAGCTCCGGCTTTAGCTTTCTACTTATACAATTATTATCTCATGCGCAGGACAAATTAGTTAATTATAATTGTTTTTGAATGATTTTCACACTATCCTAACAGTTGATATATTGGATGGACTTTTTTAAAAAAAAAATTAATTGTAATATTTGGTATGTAATAAGGTTCGTTCTCCATTTTTTGTAACGATTGCTCTAAAAGAATGCAAATTTGTGTAGACATGCAAGAAGTTAACAAATCAAACTGGTTGGTGAAGAGCTTTCAGTTATAATTGTTATTAATATAAAGCTATAGGTGATGCACGCTAAAGTTGCTGAAAAGTTTGTATGTTGCTACAATTAAATAATACTTGTTGGTAATACTACTCATTGACTCCCTTGTACTTGTGGTTTTGGTTAGTAACTCTGTTTTTCTGAGTAAAAAACATTTTGATTATTTAGAATTTTCCTTATCTTCTAATAAATAGTTTGTAACTGAATTTTCTTGGATGCACGTAAACCTAAGGCTATGGGATTTACCATTTTACCTTGCCTCTGTTTATTTCCTTCTCCTTTATGGGTATCATGGAGAAAACAAAATGCAACATGTAAAATGCAATACATAATTAAATATGTTAAAGGTGGCTAAAATTGGGAATTTGTTTACAAATATAGATGCAAAATCATCCAGCAGTATAAAGTATATGTATGTAGGATACTAGGATTCATTATTGACTTTACTACTTTTTACATTAACTTTTTAGTGACTATGAATTGATAAGAGCATTTATGTATTGGTGAAGGAAGTTTGAACATGGTCTAAAAGATACTTAACAAGAATAGCACTTTGCATAGAAAGATAGATTGGATAATGACAAGAAATGCTTCTTTAATTTTTGAATTAGTATAAAGAGATCTCTTAAAGAAAGTTTACTTGCTATTAATTCTATTCTACCTACTTAACTGTACTTTTATTTGAGCTTTGCTACAGCCTTTATAACTTTTGCTGTCAGTTTAATTGCTAGGCTTCACTGGCCTCATTATGGGTGAATTTCATTACAATATACTTTTGAGGTATTGATTTAGTTTCCATTGTTTTTTGTAAATGTATTCTTGCAAAACACATTTGATAATGTGT